GAATCAGTAGGCAAACGGCACTGACAAATTCTAGTTTCTGCATCAAGTCTCAAAGAAATAATGATATATATATATATATATATCTATATTTGGTATTGGGGATTGAACTCGAGACCTTGTACTTGCCAGGCAAGAAATGATGAGTTTAGGACAAAACTTTCAAGTCCAAATATATTAAGTACTAAATCTGATGAGTTTCAAAGCAGCTAGTAGCAAGGTATTACTTACATGTACAAAGCCTGAGGACCTATCATAGAAGCTAGAAATGCAGACACCACACCAGACCCCGACCCTACTTCAAGGCATATTTCCACTCTAAAAAAAAAATCCAGTAAAATAAATTGTTAGTACAGTAATATTAAAATATACTTTACAGGAAATAACTCATAGTAGTTATGATCCATTTTTCCAGCATCATTACTCACAAATATAACAAAATAAAAAAGGAAATTAAAAAGTTTTTAAAAATAGTTTTTAGAAATTTTAAATTTTTGACAATGACTTTGTGCTTAATACTGTATAAGTAAAACTTGCTAATACTTTGGGTGTCCAATATATTGCAACTCCATTAGTTATATATTACAATAGGGGGGTGTCTTAATTTTAACACATTACCTAAAATGTATGAAACTTTTAATTTAAGGTTGGAACTCTTAACATGAAGGATAGCATCCCTTCCCACAAGCTTTTCAGTATTTCCTAAAACAATGCATCATTACAAAATTTATTCACGAAAGAAGTTTCTCTATCATTTTTAAGTACTTACCCTTGATAAATCTAATAATGTGTCTTAGGAGAAAAATGTCCTTTATTCTAACAGATTTAGAGCAGCAAAGAAGTTCCTGTTTGTGTAGCTATATGCTGGATTGAGAAACTGAGTACCTGATCTTACAATGCTTAAAATCTGAAATGCTATTGAGTAAAATCTTTGCTCTATGGTGTTTTATATTTTCAGGTAAATGTATTTCCATGCCTACAATCTTATACAAGCATTAAAAGCACCAATTATTCTTACTACAAAGATTGGCTTTGATAGAATTAATGGTATTTTCTAGCACGTAAATCCTTCCAGCAAATATCCCCCAAAACTATAGGGTTTTCTAAGGTTGGAACCAGTCCACACATCTGACAAAACTTTAGTGGGCTACAATTAGTTCTGTGAATCTTACTAAGAGGCTTCTCTCTGAAAACATCATGGTCTCCTAAGTAATACAAATTCCAAGACTGGAAATAATCCACCACTTATAATAAACTTTTACAGCGCTGGTTGCAATGTAATCTGTAAATCTTTCTGAGATATCCTGAAAATAAAAGACAAAGTATAAAACAGTACCATTCCATACTATATTCAAAATTCAAAAGTTCCATCTTCCATGACGAAAACTAGTTTGAGTTGGAGAATTTTAAACGTGGAAAAATATGACTAAGTATGAAGAATAAATAAATGCAATATAGATCTTTGAAACTCGAGAGCTATTTCATCCTGAGGAAAACCAGTTAAAAAATTTTTTTAACGACCCCAAATCCATTTATGGAAAAACTACAAGTAGGTAATATTTAAAAATGATTATTAAAATTTATGATACTTCAAGGGACGACGGTGGATTGTATAGGCTAACTGCAATTAATGACAGTATTTGTTTACATTAAATGTAAAACTCAGTTTCTTAGTTGCACTAGTTATTTATAGCGTTCAAATGCCACATGTGGCCAAGGGCTGTTGCTACAAAATATGTTGAGTGGGCTTAAAAATACTCTTTTGCTCCATTACCTCACAATCTTTCATTTTAGTGCCATTCCATCGCTAGAAGGTGCTTTTCATGTGTAGAGTAAATCAAATAATGCCATGTGATTTTTAATATTCACTACAGATTTAATATTAAAAAGAAGCTATGTTTTCAGAACATCTCGTTTCCGAATGCATATTATACTATCGCAGCTCTTACAGGTAGGTATTCTTCAAATTAGCAGCTGAAAGGAAAAGCTCACAGCGAGGTAAGGAGGCGGGGCTCACTGTAACGCTGCCAAGGAGATAGAACCCTAGCACGCAGGTCCGGGAAGTATGGGAAAATCCTCCATTGCGGCGCCGTGCTGTCAATCATCGGCAAGGGGGCCGACCCCGCCTCCTCTGGCTGAGGGCGGCGGCCGTTCTCACCCAGGCCCTCCGCCACAGCTTCTCCCAGAACCCAAGCCCTCTCCCGCTGGGGCCCTCGCCCTCCTCGCACCCCGCTAGCTCAGGCGCCGCGGCCTCCAGTGCGTCCAGCAACAGGAACGTGTCCTCCGCGGGCTCGTACACATCTCTGTACTCGCCACGACCCACGTGCCCATGCATCGGCGTAGGAAAACTGGGGGTCGCCATCTTCCTTTTCGCTGTTCCAGGAGAACCATTTTTTGGAGAAGATGAAAAGAGACCCTTGGTTTGTTACTGTGTGGAAAGGGATGTCCCAGAAGCAGGAAGCAGCCTTTGTTGTGTGCGGATGCTGGGGGCGGGCCGCCATCTAGTGTTTTAATGCTAAATGTCAGTTCCTCCATGCTTTTGGGATTTGTAGGTAAACGGTTTATACAGCGCATAGTTTTTGACACTTTGTCTTTTGAACGTTTAAATTAGTTTTATCTTATGCATTAACCTGTTGGGCATTCTCAACTGTTTTTGAGGTGAATGTTTCATCATTCTAATGACTTTGGAAGTTTTTTTCTATTTTCATTTCTCGAGAATTTTCTAAAATAATGATTACTAAGTGTTACCAGTGTTTGTTTGTTTTGTTTTTTGGTTTTGTGAGACAGGGTGAAGCTATGTAGTTCAGCCTGGCCTTGAACTCATTTTGCTCTTTATTTATATTTTCTGTTCCTCATAAAAGAAACCATGTGTCATTTAAGCTTATATGTCTCGTTTGTTGCACTTAGGGTTATGGTCTCAAGGTGCATTGTTTTGCTGCAGGTGACTCAAGCTTGTCCTTCTTTATGCCTTAGTAATACTCGATTGCGGGGCCGGGGGTTTAGCTCAGTGGTTCTACCTCCTGCCCGAGTTAGATCTCCGGTACCGAAAGAAAGAAATGTTTTCCTGTGTTTTTCTCTTGTACTTTCAAGGTTTCTAGCCTTCCATTAAGGGCTTCATTTTGAGTTAACATTTGTATAGGGTGAGAGATGGGAACCTCGTGTTAATCTTCTACACGTTGTTATGGTTTTCCCAGCACCATTTGTTAAAGAGTCCGTCTTTTCTCCACTGTATGTTTTTGACTCTTTTATCGAGTATCAAATGGCTGTAGCTGTAGTGTGGACTTATTTCTGGATATTCTGTTCTGTTTCGTTGCTCTATTTCTGTGTCTTTATTGTGCTGGTTTCGTTGCAGTGGCTTTATCATATACCTTGAAATTGGGTATTGTGATACCTTCAGGACTGCTCTTTTTGTTCAGGGTTGCTGTGGCTGTCTGGGGTCTTTTGTGCTTCTGTGTGAAGTTTTTGTTTTGTTTTTGTTTTTGGTGTCGGGGATTGCACTTGGGCCCCTGTGCTTGAGAGGCAAGCGGCAGAACCACTGAGCCAAATCCCTGGCCCCATTTTCCCTCCCTCTAGTGTTGTGAGTAATGACATTGGTATTTTAAAAATAAATTTTATTGGTACATTTTTGGTAAATATGATGATCACATTCATCATAGGGAATTTGTACCTGTGCATAACATAACTTGATTCTTCTTTTCCTCATTTCTCTTCGTCCCTCCCTTCAACCTTTCTTCCCCTCCTTATTTACCAAAACTGTTTCCATTTTTCCTTATATTCTTTTTGCTCCTCTTCCCTTCTTTCCCTTCCCCGTCCCTCCTCTCTGTTCCATTTGAACATTTTCTTCCTACTTCCCAATATCTATCATCTGTTTTTATTCTCATTTCAACTTTCAGTTTCTCACACAAGAAACAATGCAATATTTAAACTTATGTATCTGATTTATTTCACTTAAAAGTATGATCTCAGGCCAGGGAGTTAGCTCAGTGCTGCCATGCCTGCCTCATAAACACAAGGTCCTGAGTTTAATCCCTGGAACAGGTGGCGGGGTATGGTCCCAAGGTTCATCCATCTACCTAGAAAAGTCTAAAATTTATCTTTATGGCAGAGTAGCACTCCATTGTATATAAAAACCATATCTTCTTTATCCATTCATCTGTTGATGGGCAGATGGCCTGTTTCCAAGATTAAGCTATTACAAATTATGCTGCTATAAACATGGGTGTGCATATATTACTGTGGTATGATCCTTTTAACTGTTTTGGGAAGATACCAAGAAAGGTAATAGCTTGGTCAAATGCAATCTCTAATTTTAATTTTTGAGGAATCTCCATACTGATTTCTATAATGGTTTTACCAATTTATACTCACACCAACAGTGAAGAAGGGTCCTTTTCCCCCACAGCCTCACCAGCATTTGTTATTGGTTGATTTCTTGATGATAGCCATTCTTTCTGGAGTGAAATGGAATCTCAGTGTTGTTAGTTTGCATTTAAGTATGATCTCAGGCCAGGGAGTTAGCTCAGTGCTGCCATGCCTGCCTCATAAACACAAGGTCCTGAGTTTAATCCCTGGAACAGGTGGCGGGGTATGGTCCCAAGGTTCATCCATCTACCTAGAAAAGTCTAAAATTTATCTTTATGGCAGAGTAGCACTCCATTGTATATAAAAACCATATCTTCTTTATCCATTCATCTGTTGATGGGCAGATGGCCTGTTTCCAAGATTAAGCTATTACAAATTATGCTGCTATAAACATGGGTGTGCATATATTACTGTGGTATGATCCTTTTAACTGTTTTGGGAAGATACCAAGAAAGGTAATAGCTTGGTCAAATGCAATCTCTAATTTTAATTTTTGAGGAATCTCCATACTGATTTCTATAATGGTTTTACCAATTTATACTCACACCAACAGTGAAGAAGGGTTTTTTTCCCCCACAGCCTCACCAGCATTTGTTATTGGTTGATTTCTTGATGATAGCCATTCTTTCTGGAGTGAAATGGAATCTCAGTGTTGTTCTAGTTTGCATTTCTTGAGTGACTAGTGATATTGAATGTTTTTTCATATATTTATTTGCTGTTTGTGCCTTTTCATTTGAGAAGTGTCCATTCATTTCAGATGCCCAGTTTTGGATTGGTACTTTAAATTTTGTGGATCTGATTTTCGTTTTGAGTTTTTAAAAATATATTCTAGATATTAGTCCTTTCTCTGAGGAACAGCTGGTAAAAGTTTTTTCATATTCTGTGGGTTTTCCCTTCACTCTGTTAATCGTTTCTTTTGCTTTGCAAGAGCTTTTCAATATGCTGAGATCCCTATTGTTGATTCTTTGTAATATTTCTTGTATGATTGGAGTTTTGTTTATAAAATTTTTACCTATACCTATGTCGAGTTCTACCTATTCTGTCTTCCAGCAGATTTAGTTTTTCTGCTGTAATATTTAAATCTTTGATACATTTTGATTTTAGTTTCGTGTACGGTGAGAGATATGAGTCTAGGTTTGATCTTCAGCAAGTGGAAAGCCTATTTCACCAGTACCATTTATTAAAGAAGCTATTTTTCTTTCAGTGAAGGTGTTTGACCCCTTTATCAAAGACAAGGTAGTTGAATGTGTTTGGAGTTGTTTCTGCATCTTCTAATCTGTTCCATTGATCCTTGAGTCATTCTTTTTCTTTTTTTCCAGTACCATGTTGTTTTTATTCTGTACAATGCCGCTCTGTAGTATAATTTCAAGTCAGGGATTGTGATGCCCCTGACTTACTTTTGTTGCCCAAAATTGCTTTTGCTATTTGTTGTAGTCAGGGTTTGCAGGAGAACAGACTTAATATAGGACACATAATTTATAGGACTATTTTATAATATTCACCCAAAAAGTCAAATGCAGAGAAGTGGAAGAGATCTGTCTACACTCTGGAGATCTGAAGAATCCAGTTGATGGCCTAGATCCCACAGCAGTGTCCTACACAAGTCCAGCTAGAGACCTAGCCCATGACAAGGTCTCAAGCGAGTCCATATCAAGGATCTGCACTGGGAAGGCACAAAGGCTGGTGGTGAAAGCTAAAACACCTGCTCTGGTGGGCTGAAGGACTGTGCCACCAGGCTGAGGGACCTGCACTAGATCCAGGAAGTGACCCTGAAGAGGAAGACTAGAGCTCCCCTGACGAGAATAGCAGCCATCTTTGGCGTTAGCATGACTGGAGCTCTTCTGATGAGAACAGCTCTGTTTGTATCAGGAAAAACAGCTGCAGCAAGCTTCCCCAGGAAAAGTAATAGCATGCAGTCTTCCCTTCCAGTTCTCTTTTTATACCATTGGCAACAGTTCTCAAGTGGGTCTTTCATGCCCAGAACCATGTTGACTCAGTTCAGCGGAGTGTTCCAAGTTAACCATTAGTTAATCCACCACACAATTCTAGGTCTCTTCTTGTTCCATATGAATTTTAGGATTTTTTTTCTAGTTCAGTGAGGTATGCCATTGGTATTTTGATTGGGATTGCATTAGAGCCGTATAACAATTTTGGCAGTACGGCCATTACATTGCCTATCCAAGAACAAGGGATATCTATCCTTTCCCTGATATAGTCTTTGATCTCCTTTTTCAGAGTACTGTAGTTTTCAATGTAAAGGTCTTTTATGTCTTTTGTTAGATTAACTCCTAAGTATTTCATTTTTCTTGATGCTATTGTCAAAGTTATTGTTTCTCTAGTTTCTCTCTCAGTGAGTTTGCTATTTGTGTACAGGAAGGTTACTGATTTTTGAGTGTTGATTTATATCCAACCAAACCGTTGAATTTGGTTATTAAATCTAGGAGTGTTTTGGTGGAATTTTGGGGGGTCTTCTATGTAGAGTATCATGTCATCTGCAAATAATGATAATTTAACTTCTTCCTGTGCTATTCTTATTCCTTGAGTTTTTTTCTCTTGCCTAATTGCTCTGGCTAATGTTTCCAGAACTATATTAAATGGGAGTGGTGACAGTGGACATACTTGTTCTTGATTTTAGAGTGAAGGCTTTTGTTTTTTGATAATTTGGCGTAGTATTGGTTGTTGATTTGTCATAAATGGCTTTTATCAGATTGAGATAAAGATCATCTATTCCAATTTTCTATAGGTTTCTTTTTTAAATTGTGAATGGGTATTAGAATTTGTCAAATGCTTTGTTTGCATCTATTCAGATGATCATGTGATTTTTGTCCTTGACTCTGTTAATGTGGTGTATTATCTTTATTGTTTATGTGTGGTGAATCATCCCTTCTTTGCTTACTTTTTGTTTGGTTATCTATTTGTGAAAGTGTGGCATCGAGGTCACCCATTATCATTGCTTTGGTGTTTTTTTTCTGGTATGTCCAGCAGTGTTTGTTTTATGAGATTATTTTCCCTGATTTGGTCTTTATGTATCTATAATTTTATCTCTTTCTGTTGAATTTTTCTCTTAATTAATCTGTAGTGGCCTTCTTTGCCCCTTCTG